TTCTAGGAGTTGTAGGGCCTGCTCGCGTGAGGTAGGCGCTCCCGCCGCAATGGCTCTGTTGAGGGAGCCGTGTCGTGTGGTGTGATATGGTTGGATGTCGCGCCGGACCGGGGGCATGTAGTCAAGGACCAGTTGGTCGTCGCCCAGGAGTCGATTGATCAGGTCGTGTGGCACGCCGATCCGCACCAATGCAGCCCGGTCCATGTTGCGGAATGTCGCCAAGTCGTCTATTCCGGCTAGGGCAACGAGCGGGGCGATCGCCAGCAAGGACCGCTGGTGTAGCCATGCTCGAATGTCACGGAACGTCATCTCGGGGTGATCTGTATCAAGGGCCGAGAGGGGCCAAAAATGGCTATGTAAAATGTATCAAAGGTTTGCCACACGTGGAGACAAAAGCACAATGCAAACAATCAAGGTGAGCAAAAGTTCGGGGGGATTTAGGGGTGTTTGGCTTCAAACACATGGTGCGCCTTTTGCTCTTTGCACGGGTGTCCTGACGTACTGCCAAACGAGGTTGCACTTCGGCGGCAGGTTCAGGAAGATGGGTCGTGCGAAGGCAACCGCGTTGGTCGGACCCTCCGGGCTCGCGCGGGACACGGACGCCCTTCGGGTCGTAGTGGTTGCGGTGCTGGTCGAGGTCCGTCACAGGGCGCTCAAGTGGTTGAGACGGTCCGCCCCCTCGAGGTCTTGGCAGGTCCAGAGCTTGAGGCGGCAAAAGCACAGCCCCATCACTCTGGCGAGGTCCGAGGACTCAAGGATGCGGGTGGAACTGGGGTCGTAGCGATAGCGCCGCATGTCGTAGAAGGGCGTGGCGGGTTGGTGGCGTTGTCGCTTCTGGCTGGGGAGCAGGTCGACTCGGAGTGGCTTGATGCGTCCCAGGTTGCGCTGGGCGACTTGCTCCAGCTTCTCTTGGGTCCAGAAGGTCCTGTGCATGTATGGCAGTTTCTGAGCCGTCTGCATGTTGTTCATGATCATGTCGGCCAGATAGGCGCGGGGGTCCTTGGCTTGTCGCAGGTCGGATGCGATCTCGTTGATGTGGACCTTCATCTGTTGGATGAGCTTGCCGGTCGTGTCCTCCTCCCAGCGAAGAAGGTAGAGCATGTAGCGCCGGTCGTCGTCGCCGGTGATGGCCTCTGCCAATTGGTCCGTCTCGTGTGCTCCAGCGGTGGCGCGTACCACGAGGCACTTCTGGGCCGGCACGAAGCGTTCTGTGTCGTCTTGGCCGGCTGCGGTCAGGGCCTCCCCTCGGGATGCGGCTTTGGCGTCACTGTAGGTTTTCCAGGGGTGGTATTGCTGGAGGCACTCGGGACAGAAGAACTGGCCGTGCTCGGTGATGTTGGCGGTGGCGCGCAGCCAATGTGACGAATGTACCACCGCTTTGCACGACTGACGTCGGCAGATAAAGTGCTCGTCGGTGGACGGGAGGACGCGGGTGATGAAATCGGTGAGGTGTGTGGGATAGTCGTCAGAGTCCAAGAACTCAAGGAGGGTCCCGGTGCTGTTTGCGCGCAATGCCTCGGTGAGGTGCTGCCTCTCCCATTTGTGGAACATGAGGAATAGGTCTCGTCGGTCCTCGGGTGCCAGGTTGATGAGGTCGAGGCACATGGTTTCGGCGAGGAACTTGGAGTGGTCGCTGATGAGGCGGCGCAGGTGGTTGTTGGAGGTTCCGGGGTGGATCTCGCGCAAGGAGTCCATCATGTCCATGTGGGTGTTCGTGCGGATGGTGCCGACGGCCTTGTTGGTCATGTAGTCCAAGCGGCGTCGCCATGCTCGTCGGCACAGCTTGCTGAACACCTCGAGGGTGAATGGCCGGCGGTTCTTCACGTCGAGGGCTGGTACCCTGATCCAGCGGCGGTTGACCTGGTCCCACCTGTGCACGGTGATGTAGGCGTCGTGAGCGTCGTCCGTCTCTGGCACCGCAATCTGTAAGGTCGGTGGGGCGATGGTATGGTCGCTGATCATGGCCGCGAGGTCGGGGTGCTCTGCGATGGTGTTGTACGGTGCGTGTTCTGCAATCAGGGAGTTCGGGTCGGCCAGGAGCTCCTCGAACTGGAACCACGGCACGCTACTGGTGTCGCAGGTAGCGCACCCGTAGCACGCCCCGACCCACTTGTTTCGCCAGTCGGTTTCCTCTGAGAAGCAGAGGGGCATGATGTACTGGGATTGGTATGGGATCTGGCAGAACGAGCACTGCAGTGTGGCTGGTGTTGGATTCAGGTTGTGCCAGTCCAGCAGCAGGTAGCGTGTCCGCGTGTCCGGCTCGGTGTTGGTCGACTCCATGAAGAGGTCGATCGCGTCCGTGGTGGAGAGGCGGGGATTCTCGGTGCGGAAGGTCTGGAACCTCGAGAGGACGCCGGTGTTGTAGGACCGCAGGAGGAGCTCGCAGACTGCGTCGGTCTCGCGAAGTGCCATGTTGTGCGAAGGGGGTGCGATATCGGATACACAAAAACCAGCCTGAAAATTCCTTCGGAATTGGAGGTGGCGCTTGCCGAACTCACGCAGGAGTCGGTAGTGTGCCGGGTGTGAGTCAAAGGGGGGGGGGTTGGTCGGGCCAGGGGGGTGTGTCTAGGTGACTCGGGTCCAAGGATGGCCCGTTGATGGGGGGGATCTGTACGACGCGCCACACCGGCACAAACGTCGTGTTAGATGACACGCCACACCGGCACAAATGTCATCCCGAGGGGTGGAGCTGTCCCGTAGGACCAACTCCCTGCGGTGTGAAGGTGACCGGGGTCGGCCAGTTTGTCATCAGGGATCCGACCCGAAGAAACCGAGGGTAATCCACAGGGGATCCGAAGTGGGGTGAAAGACCGGTCGGGTTCGGGGCAGGCGAGTGGGGATTGGTCACCGCAGTATGGGCCTCAGCAGTGGGTCGGTTTGTCAAGGGGTATCCTCTCGAATCAAACAGGGGGGACGAAGAGGGTCGACCCGGGCTCGAGGCTCTCAGCGCTTTTGCGCGGTCCGAAGATGGATCTCTCTTCGGGAAAAGGGGGCCTCAGGCGGTCGCCTAGGCATGGGTGTCACCTGTGCGGTATGAGGGTCATCGCCCTATTGCTGGCCCACCATCGCACGGGACATGGACTTGGTGGGTCAACTTAGGGTGGCGGGTTTGGAGACTCCTCGGTGCCGCCTGGTCAGTAGCGGGAGTCCTGGCTCTGCTCAGTCTTAGAGCTCCCGGTTGAAGCGCAGGTGTCCGTCGGGGCCGAGCAGGATGCCCTCGATGGTCGCCATGGTGCGTTGTTCGGGGGTCAGGAAATTGGAAATTGTCTCAATGATGGTCTCCCCGAAGGTGATTGCCATGTTGTCCACAAAAGGGTCTCGCCGGGAGGCGCGACAGAGCTGCCTCCCGAAGGTAAGCCAGGAACAGGTCAGTTGTTGTAGCATGTGCTGCCGGTTGGCGCTGTTGAGCAGCTGGAGTTGTTGGTGAACGTGTTGCTGGATAATCCAGCGCAGCAGGCTCCTGAGAGGTGTGACCTGCGTAGTTGGTTCCACGGGTACAAGAAAAAGGCCCCCGAAGTCATTGCCGTACACATTGGTGGGGGTGCGCGAGAAGATGCCGTAGTTGGTCAGGTGCCATTGCAAGCCGATGTGGTCGAGGACGGAGGGGAATTCCGGTAGCAGTTCCGGATTGATCAGGAAGGTGGCATCTTCGTGTACCCGCGCGCGGATGTGTCCGGCCCGCTGGGTTGACAGCAGGCCTTGTGTGCTGTCGTCACGGTCGATGCCTGGCGGCTGGAGCCACTGGACTAAGTCGTGATGTTGGTTGGATGGTGTGGGGGGTGCCGCCTTGGATGGTGTGGTGGGTTGCGGGCGTGGTGAAGGCATGTGGTGCGGGACGGGCCCGGTCGATGTGGTGGTCGCCTCCGGGAATCGGGCCTGTCTGGGAGTGTCGCGAGCCGTGGGTGTCGCGAAGTTGACGGTCCGCGGTGGTGTCATAGCTCGGGAGTATCCCGGTTGTGTGGAGCGGCCTCGCTGCTGTCGGGGGGTGTTGTTCCGTTGGCGAGACGGGTTCAATGTGCTTGGCGGGCCACGTGGTACCGCGTATGGCATCTGGTAGGTGCACGGATCGGGGTACCGAACGTTCATGTGGTGAATGGGCGTGTTCCACTCGCCGTGAAGGTGGTCGCGGAGGATTTCAAAGGCCTCCCGCCTGGACACGAAGCGCCATTCACGGTGGGCTGTGTCATAGTGGATGCCCACGCCGGTGTTGGGTCTGGCATGGTGCACGAAGCGCAGCCAGGCAAGAAGGTCACCATGCAGGACTGAGTCGCTGTGAACATGGCGGCATTCGGCACCACTGTCGCAAAAGCCTTCTGGATGCCGGGCCTGTTGTCGAAGATGTCGGTAACAGATGTTGTCTCGCGGCATCCAACGCGCATCAACGAACTCCGGATGCAAAAAGGCGCACTGGTGGGCAGAGGCAGGTGCACGTCCCCTGCAGCCGGAATGGTTGATGAACTGGTTGCAGACCTGATTGCCCTGCAAGATGTTGCCCGGACCGACCGCCTCGGGCAGGATCGAAAGATGGTCCTGAAGGGCCCGGTACAGTCGTTCATAATCCGGGTCGAGCTCGGTCATTTCCATGAGCTGGTACTCCTCCACGATGGATGCGAAATTCGCTGGAGCAGTCATGGCGGTCGAGCAGGCAGGGCAGGTAGGTCGGAAAGAGAAGAAAAATTTGGCTTGAGCCAAAATGGCGAACGGAGCATGAATCAAGCAGTGTCATCCTGCAGGCACTCAAGGTTCGAATCTGAGTGTGATTCAAATGCCTTCCGCTATCGGTTGTTACTTTTAACACAAGTGTTAACCGCAACAAACATCACAAGACTAAGAAATAGATAGATCTGTATCTCCTAGGCTGTCAGGCAACACACCATCATATCGAGTCTTCACCCAAGTCTTCCAAATCCGCAGCTGGAAAGTCCGGCTTTACTTAAGCCATGCTTCAAACAAAACACAAAGACCAAACAACTACAAGCATTTCGTTCGTAAATCTGATTGTCATCCAGGATTGGAAGCCCACGGACTCGACGTGGTGCAATCGATCGGGCACCTTGTATTTGACGAGCAAAGCGAATCGTAGACGGCTAAAGCCGCAAGCTAAGGCGCTGTGTGCTCAGTCCAATGCCTCGAAACAGCTACGGCGAACTCGACTTGCTTGCAGCTCGAAGTTTCAGCCCCACGGAAGGTTCAGAATGGCTCAAGTCCAAGTCATCATTATCGCCTCCATCCCATCTCTGCCTGTCAAGGATTGGAGGACTGGAAGTTGAATTGCATTGCCATTCCTCTTGATCTTGCGTAGGTCACTGGCACTACTGGCCAAATGCTTGTGAACACCTCCAGTTTCACTCGGTCTTTCCCCACAAACAATGTTTGCGCCAAGCATGAAGCAGCCTAACCTTGCAACAAGCCCCTGGCCGTGCCTCTGTTCCACCAGTGCCACCTGCAGAATTCATGCGATTCTGGCGCATTGGGGCAACCCACTTGGTGTCTTAGGACTCTCCTATTGTGTGGTTTCCCTCATTTGACAACTCCATGACTTTGTGTACTGTTGAATTCCCATGTGCTTGTGTGCATGGTTGGCGTTCAAGCTTGGCATCTGGCTAATTCTGGCAAAAGTAACTTTTCCAATTAACTGGTATGCTCACTTGCAAGATGTCAACATTCCCATTCACAAAGAAGCCATCTGGATATGTCTGCAAATAGGGAAGCCCGTTCGGGCCGAAGCCGTTCGGGATGAGATTGAAGTAAAGTCAAAGGGACACCATCCAGCTGAAAGCTTCCCATTCCTGTTGTGAGAAACGCCCATCTGCCAATGCCTAACATTGTATGAAGGCAAAAGGCAAACATTTCACAGCTTAATTCTCATTGAGTTTCTTCAGCACCAACACCCATGTTGACCATTCCAATAATATTGAGACTCTTCTGTTCAGGCGCAATGCCAGGGCAAATCTAAATCTAATCTTCACCTTGGCGGAACCTCCTGGGGAGCTCGTCTGCCGAGCTGAGCTGGTTTGATACTTGGGCGACCCCGAATGGGAGTCTGGCAAAAACAAAAACAGGGTAAGCTCTAGGATACTACGCAAAAAATGATCATATCAGGCAAGTGGAGCTTGTTTGATAGAACCTGTTTGGGGACCAGGAAATTGTGCGCATGCAGTGTTGCAACCAGTTGAGCTGAAGCAGTTCACACCAAATGACATTCTTGGCAGAAAGAAACTTGAGTGATCCGCCAATCACCAATCAGCGTAGAACATGGCACAAGGGAAACTAACGGAACCAAACCAAAGTGGCCAAATGAGATGAGACCCACAAATCCGATCTGATTCATCCCTGGGAACCATCCTCAGTCACCTCCCAAACGCCATGAAAAAGATGCAGGTCCCCCCCAACTAGGTCCCGGCTACCCCCAACGAACCACTTCCGTGGCTCTACCCAGACTGGGTGCGTAAGGCCCTAGGCTCACAAAAGGGCCAGGGACCCGAAAGGCGCCCGAGGCGCATGCCTCTCCCCAGCCAGCTCCCGCCTCCCAAGATCCTGGCCCGTGCCAGCGTGGCGCGCTCGGAGAGGAATGCTGTGGCGGCATTGGCCCTGCGATGCGATCGAAGAGCTCGAAATGGCTTGCGCCAAGGCAAGGCATATACAGTATCCAAATGGAGTCCAAAAGGGGGGCACACATTTGGACCGTCCAATCGAGCAACTTGATGCCAACAAGCATGTTAGACAACCCCGTGTGAGAGAGAGAGAGAGAGTGAAAACAATATCATTGGTACATATACATTATTCATGTATTGTTCTTGTGCGATGAGGTAAATCTGCCTTCTGGCATGTATGGAGCGTAGACAGCAGAAAGCAAAGAACAAAGTCCATGTCAGTGGCGAAGCAGCATCAAATCATTGACTCTTCCACAAAACCGACAATTTGACGTCTTCCGTGAACAGAAGACACATGCATAACATCGACCTCGTTCTTCAGGAGCTTCTTCAGAACGCCAAGTGTGACACGATTGAATAATCAACAAATGCATGTGGCTGTGGGTCAAAAGTTAGGTACCCCAAATGGAACCCTGGTAAATGGAAAGAAGGACTAAAACCTGCGGTCCCCTGGTGGTTTCATTTTGACCCATACCCATGTTCAAAAACAGCGTCATACCTCTCGCATGCCTCCCTCGATGGGTATGCCGCTATGCTCAACGTAGCATTGAACATTTTTCGGCCCAATCGCCTTGGCATGCGAAAGAGTGCTGATGAAACAATTCATTGGCCGTGGCATGCATGCGGGGTAAATGCCTTGCCTTGGAGTAACTGGCTTTGTTAGCAAACCAAATGTCCTATGGTCAAAACTTCCCCTGCATAAGATATTATACTGAGTGTCTGAAGCCGAACCTCAAGAAAAGAAAAGTAACCTAGACCTCATGGCGGATCGGAAGAGCCCCGTCTGCGCCTCGTCCGGGTCCAAAAACAAAAATTTAGTTGTAGGGGTGGGATTGAATGCTCCAGCTCATCCACCTAAAAGAGTGCCAAGGAACAAAAGAGCGCAGTTTGTAAAATCGACTTGGGCATCCAAAGTGCTTTCTTACGAGGTCCTCAAAAGGAACCTGCACGGGGCTGTTCCCACACGCGATCAGCTAGCTCGCTAGAGCTCAAGCATCACCAGTCGGTGGAGCAAAGCGGGCCTCGTCTTCACGAAGTCTGCTCCGGTGCTGACCTGGCGTCTGGGCTCATGCCTAACCAGCAGGCTGACTGCTTCGCACGAGTCACCACACTTTGGGAAGCGCTCAGAGAAAAGGAAAAAACAACAGCCTCTCGTGGGGCCCTGGTGTCTTTTGATCGATCATATATCTCGCAGCGACGTTTGCCTTTGGAGCCCCTCACAAACAAATTGACCCCGGAAAGAATATTCGCGTCCCGTTATTCTTCCCCCAAAATGAAAGTTGAAAGGCAACCCTGGACGCCGCCATCAAGCACGGAACTCGGTTTGTCGAACAGCGACGAACGGTGCTAATACTGTTTAGGCGAAGCCTTCTTTCTTTTCCTAGCTTTAAGATATCCATTGATCCCCGAGGGCATGCCGCAAAATGAGGACTTGATTAATATCAGCGGAACAAAAAAAACATGCCTTTCGCTCAGAGAAAGGCATGGCGGCACAAGCATCACAACAACCCGCACCTGTTCGTATGTCCTCGAAGCCTTCTCTCGGATCTGGTGGCGGCGGCCATAAGCGCCATAGCCTCGGCAACGGGAGGCGAAACAAAAAGTCAAGATGTGAACGCCAGCCGTTGTGGAAAATGAACCCTTCGCCTGTACACTTCCCTTCCCTACCCCTATTTTTGCCACAAAGGGGGAACCCAGAAAAGCTTTCCGGGCCTTGGACACAAACATGTATTGTGCCACGGGGAGAATTTCAGCACATATGCGCTGGGGTTCCCTGATTCCAGGCTTTAGCAATCCGAATGTCCACATGGGTTTGCTCTCCTCAAGACTGCGGGCCTGAAATCGCGCTTTGTACAATTCACCAAGCGGTGTCTCGTGACGCTCGCCCATTCGCCTGTGGCGCCACCAGCCACTGCCCCAGCAGTGGCACCGCCGGCCGCACCCACGGCCAGTCCTGGCTGCAACAGCGCGGACTCCCACAAGGACCCCTCGTGTGTATGATGGGACACGAAATGACCACTGAGTCCAGAGGCGGCAAAAACGGAGGTGCTCTTTAACATGGCATTACACTGCACTGTCTCCTTTGTTGGTGCCTTTTCCTCTCATTGGTGGTAACTCATGCATGATGCAGCGTTCTAAACTACTTTCTGTGCGTCTCCCTACTACATCCTAGATGTTTGGAATTGAAGAGTCAAGCAATGCACACTCATATGCTTGAATCCCTGACGCGGTCTCTGCCTGGTTCTCCCAACATGTATATACGCACAACGCGTAAGTCCGGCCAAAAACACGATTGATCCCACATAAACAAGTATATGTATGTGTATATAGTTATTTGTTCATTTATTGTTTATTCAATCATTTACATAGTATGTAATGTACAGCGACATGTTTTATACACACACGCACACATTTGAGCCCTGAAGCCGAAGTTGCAATTTGATGGGGCTTCTGAAGGACTCCGGCGCTCAAGAATTGCAAGACCAAACAAACAAGGTGACTGACGCATTACACGTGGGCATGGGAACCATATCTGCATTTGTGAAAGGATTTGGTCAAGCTCCCAAACATGTGCACAACCTATCATAAACTTGGGTCACGTCATGTCAACATCGGTGACTGGACAATATGCTATCGATCAACCGGAGGTACACCAATCCTGGATTCCGATTCCATGGCCGGTGCCTGTCAGTCTTAAAGATTGCCACAACATCACGCTGGGCCATGTCACCCGTCTGATGGCTACGACTCGAACCTGGCTCTTCTTGACAACACTAGTGAGATCTTTGACTGACAAAACCAAATGAATACACGGGCCCTCACTAGAACAGCAAGGTGGGGGCCCTGCTAAGCTCTTGGTTTTGTGAAAGTAGACATTTCACTGGTTGGGAGCTCCCCGACTTTAAGTCACTTGCAGCCAAACAAGATGGCGGATTTTGTGCTCCCCACCAGCAGCCCTGCCTGCACCTCCCCCGATCGCTGCGCAGAAGGGGATGGAGAGGCCGAAGGTGAAGATGGCCGGCACCACACCTGAGGCCAGAAAGATGTGAGCAACTCGTGTTCCTACCAACATGGCAGGGTATGAATCTATGCGTATGGATTTTAGGCCTCACAACAATCCTGAAACATGTTTTGAACAGGGTATAACCCCCGTGCACAAAATTGGTCAACGGTACTGGAAACCAGGCCTGGTGACTGTACCCAATATATCGGGAAGCACCTAGAGGCACAATTCCGGCAATGGGCCGAATGGCTCAAAACATGGCTCGGCTCCTTTGAATGAAGACTCTTCACTGGGTTTACTTTTATCTTTGACCAATTGGTGGCAAGGAGTCTGACTGAGGGGAACATCCAGAATCCCGACATATTCAAATTCGACAAGCTCCTTAGCTTTCTAGGGCAGCACTAGGGCAAGCCTGCCATGACTAAGTCTTCAACAAGTTGGAGGCCTTTGAGAAGCAGCGTGGACCGTTTGCTTCGAAATGAACCCTCCCAATGACCGCGTGAGTTTGTCTTCCAGTGGGAGACATCTTTTTGCTTGAACCACCTACACCCCCGAGGGTTTCCTGATCGCAGGCTTCAGCCCTCCCAATCGCACAAAATTGTCCCCAACTGGCAACTCGGATCTTTGACCGCCGCATCCGCTGACTTCTCGCAATCTTCACATTGGCCGTGGTCAAAGGCTACTCGTTGCCAAGGATGCTTAACCCTTTAATTTTTTGGGTTCGGCAACCATATTCCTATCGCGCCCACACGCAGATTTTTGTGTGACATGCCTTGGGGATCCTTGGGGTGCTTCCCAAGATCGACAACCACCGAAACCGATTGGTTTCCATTTGGCTTCCTTGTAAACAACATACAACAGAGAGACCCTACCTTTAAAAACACGCACGCACACATGCACACACGCAGAGCTACACACACCCAGAAACAGAGGAATGCCCTGGGGAAATTCATGCCGAACCCATGCATCATGCACCGTGCCATCGGGTGTCTGCTTGACAAACCATGACACACTTTGCCCAAACTGGGTAAGCATGCCGCAAGAAGGCAACTGAAAGAAGGATGAGCAACAAACATGAAACTACATCGTCACCACAAGGTGCGTTCAAAACGGACGGTCTCAGCTCACTGTTACTCAACCATTCCAGGGTTGGGCGAGCCACCTGTTTAAAGTTAAAAGACGCATAAACAGAAAATGACATGTCAAGGGGAACAATGATTGCTACATCCAGAAAACCAATTGATTCCCCTGTAAAGTGTTAGGAACTGGAATTGATGCAACCAGAAACACTCAAGTAACTTGGTTCCCCTCTACTTGGTCCTGCTGCATCCTATCCCCGGGCACATCGCCCGCTCGAGCCTACAGCAGCACCGACCAGACCGCCGCTGGCAAGGCCAGAGATGGCTCCGCCTGAGCCATGGAGCCGCGAAAGGCACAGCCACGACTGGAGCAACAGCGTTGTGAAACCAAGAAAAGCTGATTCCGGATCAACCACAGGGAGCAGAACGAGAAAAAACAGTGTCCGTCTTCAACGATAGCTGTTGATTCTTGGCCAGTTGTCAGTTCAAACCGAGGCCATGTCAACTCCTCGCTTCTTGGTTTATCCAGTTGCCTGTCCCGGTGACAAATGTGGGTTGATGTTGAACAAGTCTTTGTGCATGCAAACGGCCGACATTGCTTCAAGTTGCATCAAACATACACAGATTTGTTGCAGGACTAAACTGACGAGAGCTATGGCTGCTACGTCATCCCGCGAGTCTTGCTGTGAGCGCGCCATTAATTGCTTCAGCCTTGAGCAGCCACCAAAACATTGCGCGATTGGGAAGCATTGTGTCTGTGCTTTGCTGTTCTTCGCGTCCATGGATTCCAAAGCCCGATGTTTTTGGCAAGAGGGAAGCAAGGCTCACTGGGGATTGGCTCGACATCTGATTGCGACGGCCTTCGGCTTTGCCCGCAGCCCACGCGGCCCGTCCGTGCGCACCTGTGCCCAAGACAACTGCGCCCGTGCCGGCGCCCACCACGCCGGCTTGGAGCTGTTTGTCACCCGTCAAGGACTTCACCTCCGAGTCGAATCCGGAGGCTTTTTGGGCCGGGGGTCAGACCTTTGCTTGGCTGCTCACTTAGCTCTTGCCGCATTATTTTTCTTATGATCTCCTGCTTTGATCCTCATTGGTCATTTCATCATCCCCAATTTGCCCCTTCTCTACAAAACAAGAAAAGGAAGATTGGGGGCTCCCTTGACCATACTCAGTTTGCCAGCCTCTGGGTACGTGCGGGATATGACCAAACAGCAAATATGACGTTGACAAGTAGTGAGTAGTACAGCGACCATAAAGCACAACCAAGCAATTTCGCCCGGATCTACTGTTTGACCATTTCCATTTGACAAATGAAGGGGATGGAGCTAAATGATCCCGGCTGCATTGTTGGCAGCAAACTAAAAAAAACGGTCCAATCCAAAAAACAGATTTATCTACCTTGATGTAACTGATGTGTGTGTGTTTCACGTCACATTCGGAACTGCTGGTCAGACTGCCCAAGCAAGGTCATGGTGTCTGCAGAGAGTGGTCGACTGGGCTTCCATTCTAGTCAGAAAGTGATGTGTTGCTTGAAGATGGCCCAGTCCAAATGTTGAATGCACCAAGAGGTGCCATGAGCTGCAACTTCTTCCTATCACAAGCCCTTGATTCTCCAAGCACAGGCCGTACAGTATCTCGGCTCACCAATTGGATGATTTGAGGCGTTGATCTCAATAAGCCGCTTGCCCTGTATCCCTGGTGAACATCAAAATAGGTGGCAAATGGATGTTCATCCACCCCAAAATGGAGCCATAGGTTATGCCCCATGGTCACTGGATTCTTTCCTATCTCGCTACTTCCACTGAAGCACTTCTGGCTCCAGCCCAACGTGCCCGACATCCCCAGTCCAAACCGGGCCCATTCGGGAAGCGACGCCGAGAGGGAAACCGGCGCTGCTTCCCGGGGCTCCATTTGCTTCCCCAGACTGAAAACCCATCCGCCTTCCCTTGCACCACCGTAAAGGCTTCCTGCCCCTGCTGCAGGCGGCACCTGGTACGCTCCAAAACGGGTAGTTCGGCTTTCAATATGAAGTAAAACCCTTTTCAAGTGTGTCAAATGACGTGTGCGTGCGTGCGTGCGTGCGTGCGTGCGTGCGTGCGTGCGTGCGTGCGTGCGTGCGTGCGTGCGTGCGTGCGTGCGTGCGTGCGTGCGTGCGTGCGTGCGTGCGTGCGTGCGTGCGTGCGTGCGTGCGTGTGCGCGTGGGTGGGTGGGTGGGTGGGTGGGTGGGTGGGTGGGTGGGTGGGTGGGTGGGTGGGTGGGTGGGTGGGTGGGTGGGTGGGTGGGTGGGTGGGTGGGTGGGTGGGTGGGTGGGTGGGTGGGTGGGTGGGTGGGTGGGTGGGTGGGTGGGTGGGTGGGTGGGTGGGTGGGTGGGTGGGTGGGTGTGTGTGTACGAGTGTTTGCGTATTTGTATCTGTGTGCCTGTGTGCCTGTGTGGGTGTGTGCCTGTGTGGTGCGTATCTGCGTCTGCGCGCCTCTGTGTCTCTGTGGCCATTCATTCATTGCAGAACGCATAAGAGCAGCGGCATGCAATTTGATTCATGCGACAGAGTTGTCGGAACATTGCAAGATCCCTGTATTGGTCTACAAACGTCCCTTCAAACCTGCCGAACCGACATCCAATTGTCCAATGCGTTCATTGGACGGCCGAAGGTTCTTTGCATCGTGACCAATACGCGTGTATCTCCTAAGGGCTACCTGCACAATTACTGCCCAAAGAACGCACGGCTTCCCTTGCTCGACAAGTTTCAACGATGGGGCCCAAAAAAGCAAACCCGAAAGGTCGTTGAAGGGGAAACACGAAAAGATGGTCTTAATAACAGGGGCCTGAACAAGCAAAAGCAGGGCGGGATTGACCCACCCTGAGAAAAGGTTCTGTGTGCCCATTCTGAAATTTGTGTCCGGCACCCAGATGGGGCAGTTATCATGGTGCTCCCAGTGCTTGGTTTGTCAGTCACCAGATGAGGGATCCAGTGCTTTCTGGCCAAAGATGAACAAGTTCCTTGCTGACACTGTAGGATGACACCCTGCACCCCACGATCAATGAGATTCTGTCCCTCCCGCCTGGCCGACTTCTGAAGCTCTGCCTGTAGCACAAACCGCAACCCCGCACCCTCGATTGAATGGGGAGCCTCGATGAACTCAGCCAGAAGAAAACATCTGCCCCTCAACATCCGTTGGCTTTGCTCCAGTCCCTGGAGTTGCTTTCTTGGCTCGCAGCCTGCAAGCATGCCGTGCAAGCCTTCGAACTCCGGTCTTGCGGCTTGGTCCACGCTTGCCAGGCTCCATGAAAAACCAACTGCCGATCTGTGTCCCGATCTTCTGGGGTGAGTTGGCCACCTGCGCAATTGAGGCCCTGAGCAGGGCATGAATGGATCAGGAGCACAGGATCGAGCACAACGGCTGTGAAACCACACTACTTCTTCAAGGGGGCAGTTCCCTGGCGTCACAAGAGCGCACAAAGGAGGCACAGGATTTCCAGGAAGCAATCATGTTGCTGGTGCCTCGGGCCTTTGAGTGAAGGTGTCTGGCTGGGCAATTGCAATTTGGGCCACGAAGCAATCAATTGGTGTGGCCATCTTTCGGGTACGTCCCAGTTAGCTCCGTTGGCTCAGTTGAGTCACAATCAAAACCCGGTATTAAGATGGTCTACCCAGAACCATGTAAAGAATTAAGAAGGCGGCCGCAACTATTTATGGCTGGGATTGTCCCTTACTAACCTTCATCCACCCGGGTTTTGATTGTGGCTCAGTTGAGGCAAGGCCCCGCAGCGCCCCAGCCAGCAGGTCACCCTAAGACCCCTGCCCAGCGTGCGGCAACAGTGCTCTCCTGGCACTCGCAAGCATGCACACCAGGCTGTAGTGAGATGAGCAGTTGCGGTGAATGTGTCGGCCTCCATGCACCTGGGCACCTATGCTTCACTGGGTGTGGAGTGCAAAGACTAGCAGTGTGCTCCTGTAGCTTGTTTGCGTCGTGCAAATTCATGGTAAGAGTAGGTTGAGTGCAAATGAATGTAAATGGTGCTACGGGCTGGTTCGCTGTCACTTGTATCCCACGATATGGGCAGGGGTGGGATCTCAATGCCGTCTAACCCAGAAAGCTGCTGCTATGCAACCTTGAAGCACAACCTCCCCCGCACGAAAAATGCAAAGGTCAAGCTGCCATGATGCTCAGGCCACCGTGCCCATGCAGTACAAGTGGTGCAAAGGCCCTCCCAAAACAGCCACGTTCTTTGCACGAGACAGCATCCCTCACAAGAACCCTACAACGTCACCTGTGACAGTACCCCGCACAGCCACTATCCACCTGGGCAAACCAGCCCCCACTAGCACCCACCAGCACCAGCGCCAGTAGCAAACACGGCAACACACAACACGCCATACTACTCCCAGCGAGCACATCAAGGCACGTGTATGTACACTTGGCACTGTCGCCTTTTTTCGGCTTGCAGGTTCTGTTAGTTTCCTTTGTACTTCTGATAACAAGTCTTCTTACCAGATGTACAAAGGAAACTAACAGAACCTGCAAGCCAAAAGAAGGCGACAGTGCGTCGACAGGGACAAAACAAGTGTGCTCGACCGGCGGGGCATGCGCGAACCAGTGCCTGCAATGGAATTATTGCGATGTGTTCAATGTCCAGTGCACAACAATTGAGGGCAACCGGCACTGCCCCAGCCTACAATCTGCCCAGATGGATCAGCTGGGCAGATTAAGGGGGAACTAGGTTGTGGTTTTCGGTGATTCTCCGGTGAATTGCCTGGGTCGACCGCAGAAGTCCATGTGTGTGTGTGGGTGTGTGTGTGTGTGTTGATTTTCCCGCCCTCTTTTGATGCTTGAAGAAAACTAGACTGGAGTTAGGACCTGTTACAAGCTGTCCTACTGTTTGCATTGATGATAGGTACCAATACGGCCCCCGGGAGCTCAACATCCAAATCAAAGTTCCGGAGGTTGCGCCTTTGGATGCCCAACAAGGCAAGCTCGGCTTGCAAAGCCAGGAAGCAAACGATGACTCCAAGCATGATGCAGTCAAACTGTGTGCGAGAGAGCAGTCAACAACACATTGTCTGTTTGGCAAATCACACATGCACAAGCAGACAGCATACAAATGTTTGACCTCATTTGAGGACTTCTTTTGACGTTGAGCCAGCTTTTGGATGCTTTTGGATGGTGCTTTAAAGGGAAACTACCCATTTGTTTCTGGGGGAGCTCCCGATAGGACCCGCCCATTCTTTGAGGCTCCTCTTCCTCCAGCTGTTTCTTGAGAGCTTCGACTGGAGCCGCCTGCCAATTGCCAGCTCCCGTCTCCCCCTTCTCCCTTCCGCTGAGAGGTACGAGGATAGCTGGCAGGGGCCAACTCTTGTTCAAATCTGACATTGGTTCAACAGTCGCCTTTCCCTCTCAAGCGGGCCAGGGATGCTTGGTGCACCTACATTTAACTTAGAGAGAGTCTGTGAACAAGAAAAGGGGCTGCTAGAAGCACGTCCAAAGGCAGCGCGGGCCGATTTCACTCTAGCTCAGGAGCTTGATGCAACCGCGAGGAGTGGACAGCAGCCTCGCGGAATTGCGCTTGGCGGGGTTGTTCCTCGGGCTATGCAACCCTCGGCTGTAGGGCTCAAGGAGCAGGAACACATAGTTTTGACTGCAAGTCCTAGGCTGCTTCTTTAAACCCATGTCGGCTACTCTGAACTATAGGTAACTAGGTGGAACACTGTGTGCTATTCTGGAAGGCCCTTCTTTGCCTGAGCAAAACAAGTTCGAGGTGTCCTGTTCCTGTTTGTGCGACCCTGTCGCCAGCGCCCGGCTTACTTGTCTGGCTTGGTCTTTAGGGCTTTCTTGGAGATTCATCCTGACAACTACATTTTGTCACTATGCGTATATCAAAAATCAACGAGCTACCCCAGCCTATGCTTGTGCTATCCTCAAAGGAGCGTCAACTTCATTTTTAGGAAGCGACAATGATATGGTCTTCCAATAAGCCAGTCTTGCAATGCAGTCTTGGTCAGTTTGTACCTGTTGCTGCCTTTGTCGACCCCGCAAGTGGAACCCCGAAGTGTAGAAACACTCTTTTCTAGAGGTTGCTTCCCCATTCTTTTCAACCATCGTTCTTCTCAAAAACCAGCTGTTTCCCCTGGGGCCTGGGGCTCTGAAGGTTTTCTGGAAAGAAGGATGCCTGGAAAGAATGGGGAAGTGTCCCCTAGATCTTTAAGGGGTCCGCGTACTTTCCAAAGGTACTGCTGATTCCTCTTACTGTCGCGTGCCTGGGCGGGCGCCGTGACCGCTGCGCAAACAGCCTGAAACGGCAGGGCATAAGCTGAGCCAGAGTCATGGTTGTGGCGCCAACAGCCTGTTTCTTGTTTATTTTACATAATATATATATATATGTTATTGTGTCAAAACCGCTATGGTTTGAAGGGGAGGAGGCCAGGGTCTGCTTGGTTAAACTATTCAAGTATTTGTCCTTGTCAAAACTTTATCATGGTTTTCCCTTCCAAAGCGGCCTGTTTCAACCGAACTTGTCACCTAGAGTCGGGGTGACAAATGGAAGTTCCTGGCTGCCGGGTGGGTCCTGGCAAAAACAAAGCTAGCACACGAGCCATACAGCGCAGCAGTGCACCTGATTTCCCTGCACGTGGATGGGCCTGCTAGGGTTGACATAGGCCATTAGTTGAGAGTCACTCGTCTTGAATGCACCTTAGCCGATGGAATTGACCCACTCAAAACCCACACCAAATCAGCCTTCAGAACAGGTCACCCTGAGCGTGCGCTTGTTTGTGATTATATTGATTCTTTCAGGAAACACATAGTTTGTGGCCTTTCTTTGAAAAAGTGTGAAAAACCTTGAGAAAATCAAAAACATACGAGTCAGCTGTCCTGACTTGGGGGTGAGGGGGGAGGGGTATTTTGTTTTTACAGTTTTTGGCTTTCTCGAGGATTTGTTTGCAGTTCTTTGGAAAAGTGTGAAAAACCTCGATAAAACCAAAAAACAAAAAAAACACCAAACAAAAACCAAGACTATGTCAGCTGGCTCGGCTTTGGGAGGGGGGGGGGGGGTAGTCTTGGCGATTTTGAGTTTGTTTGTTGTGGTTTCCCCTTGTTTTCCGCATTTCTTTGGAAAACTGTGAAAAACCTTGGAAACAAACAACAAGAAACAAACAAGAAGGACTCTATCAGCTGCCTCATTTGGGGGGATATAATATACTTGTTTTGGTTGTGTTGAGTTGCTTTTTGCACTATACCGTTTCCGGCCAGTTCGCAAGAGCTTGTGTGATCAAGCGTGCTGGTGTACTTCACCTCCAAGCCCTAGTGCAGTAAGTTAGAGATGGTTTCCTCTGGTTGAACCCGTTCCTTATTACATTCTTCTTAATCTTAATTGGAATTGTACACGTATCACTTGACAAACATATTAAGTAGAGTTCGTAAGAAAGAACGTAGAGGTCCCAAAATTGCTGGAAACATGTTGTTTAAATGTCTATTGTTTTGCAAACACAATTCCAATCGTGTGTGACATTTATTTTGAAATAGAATACTCACTATTCAAAATATATACTTTAAACTTAATATGTTGGTTGGATTATTTCCTGATTAAACATTTCATGTGAGATAGGTATTAAGTAGAACTTGATCAATATATCAAGTATAATTCATAAGGAAAGACACCTGGGATACCGAGAATGCTTAATGCATGTTGTTTAGATGCTTACTGATCTGTAAGGGCAATTCTATCGGAAAGGCACTCCTGTGTAGCATTTCTGTTGACATAGAATAATCATAACTTGAACATATAATTTAACATAGAAGATTTGATTGGCGTCTTCCCTTAATAAGGTCTATTTCATTGCAGCTAGACATTGAGTAGAATCTGACAAAGATATTGAGTAGATTTCAGAAGGAAAGAATTCAGAGGTCCTGAATCCGTGGTTAGATTGTTTTATGTTGCTTTTATTTGCTATCCCAAGCACTACCATGGTCAGAAAACATCGTAAACCATTCACATCTCCACCAATGGCTGCTCTCTAAAATTCAGTTTGAACTTGAATAGGATTTCAACAAGGAAATGCTTGATCAAAATCCTACTGGATATTACATCTTACATTTAGAATTTAGAGGGGAATCCTTTCCGTCTAGAACATTACAATCAAGTTAGAGATGAAGCATAACTTGATAAGGAATGAGTCCAAACACCACTTCTATGCTATAGCATAATTTGAAATATAATGATTCTATGTAAAATGATACTTTACACAGCCTGTTCTGTCCAATCGAATTTCTTTACACGTCGTCTAAGATTTGAACAAACATAGTTCAACTTGAGCTTCCACTCAAAACGTGAAAAAAGCGCACGCTCACAGCGTCCCGCTCTCAAAATTTAAGACCTCTAAGCCAAGCCTACCGGAACCTAAACTCATCCTAAACCAACGCTAAATCCAGCCGAAAGCAAACCGAAAGCCACCTAAGCCCAAACTTAATCCAACCACCTCAAACCCACCCTAAATTTCCCCTAAACCCAACCGGAATCAAACCCAAAACCAAACCAAAAACAATCCTAAACCAACTTTACAACAGCTTTGAATTGTAATATACTCAAAAACACACACACACACACACCACACACACACACACAAACCGCCCCACTTCCACCCCCACATGCGGGTTGGGCCATTCGGCCATGGCATGTGTCGGGCCTCAGCTTCCGTCTGCGTGGCCAGGGTGGCCACTGCACTCACTGCCTGCAGAGAGGACAGCGGAGTTGGCCCAGCTTTCCACTTCGGTTGTGCCACGCACAAGCAGGCCGCAACTTTGGCAAACGTCCAGGTATGGTGAGACATGCAAACAGGCGGTTAGACGGTTGGCCCACCCTGGAAAGTCATCTAAGCTGAAATCTGGATATCCGAAGGCTGACAGTGTTGCTGCACGACATGTACGTATTGCGACATCCGCTGCTTGGGTGCCAATAGTCGGAAGGCAAAGAAGATGAGTTCAAACGGCCATCACCAGGCAATGTCTAATGCGAGGTAGCTCTTCAAGAGGGCCACAGAAACCAAGAAAAAAAAAACATACACGCCAGGATGGGCGCATTGCCAGTACGCAACATGGCCAGTTCCTGGCTGGCTGCGCAGCTGAAGAACTGCAACATCAACTCATCAGTGTGTTAGCTCACTAATCCGTCTGAACCAAAGCTTCTTTGGGGCGCTCAGGTCTTAAAAGGCCATTGCAACTCCGCAATCTGCGCCTCCTCCTGAGCACATTCTGTCACCTCCGGGACCTCCGGGACAACGACAGCCTGGCAAGATGCTGCTAGCAGGCGGCAAGTATTGCATGCTACATCAATCGATGACATTCAGATTTAGCGCACCATTGGGCGTTCGGTTCTCGTGTACTATCCAACAAGGATCCGGAAGCATGACAATTCCCAAGGATTGTGGTTTTGCCGCATGAGACAAGTTTGTCATTTCTCCAAAGAGAAATCCGACACATTTATCATATTCGCGGGCAACTGCATCGTCCAATCAATTCGTCTTCAAAGGACAACTCTGGAACAACTGCTTGATCTGGAGGCAAACTGGTCAGGGCCTTGAGTGTCGCCATTTCAGGATTGTCTTGGTGCCATTTATTTTAAAAAAGAGACTCCAACGAAGCTGTTCTTGCATTCTGCAAACCCGGAACACTGCAAGCGTGCTGAAAGCACGCAATTTGGACCTGCTCAATGCACCAATTCTCTTGGAAGTCGCGATTGGACTGTCAAGTAAGCCTGTTTGTAGAAAGAATGCACGTACTTTGATCCTGGGTATCTCAAAACTGTCTTCAGAGAAAATGTACAATGTCGGCTAGTTTTGAGCTCGCAACATGCCTCGCCTGTGTTCTGATTGCGGACTGTGAGAAAACCATCTGCCACCTGCCTGCTCTTCTACTTTGGGACAAACGCTGCGTGCACAAGCGACTCGCAAGCGGCGCTACTCGCACAAACACGCTTGTACAACATCCTCCTTGCAACAACGTCAGCAACTGCAAGTTCGTCAACATCATCGTTTCTCCTTTCTTGGCTTCATTTCAACACATTGACAACCTCCTTTTGGTTTTCCTTCAAAGGGACCTTTCGAGGGCTTGCTTGCTTTGGAGCCCTCTTTTTCCAGCCACCCCTATGTCGGGATAAAAGGGGCCGCACTGTGCAGCTTTTCGGATCGGCTTGTGCAGGGTTCCCTGTTGAAACATCACCCAACGAAGACCCATTTGGGTATGGGTCAAAATTAAACCACTAAGGGACCACAGGTTTTAGCCCTTGGTTCCATTTACCAGGGTTGCATTTGGGGTACCTATTTTCGACCCACAGCCATTTCAGTGTGAACGTTCCTTGCACAGGTCTGGTACAGCGGGGGACTTGTCTTGGGGCAAATATAGTTGTTTTCAGAAACCAAAGGAAACCTGCGGCATTCACATAAGCGCTGCTATAGGTCCTATCCGGGGCAATTCATTGCTCTAGGGTTTGATTCCCCATTCTTTTCAACTTGAAAACAAACAACAACTGGAAAAATGGGGAAACCTCCTCTAGGATTTCGGTTTCGGGCGATGCTCCCACCGAAGTACCCTGCCCCAGACTAACACGGAAGCTCCCAGGACCCCAAGGAGAGACTGGGTTCCATTTGCAGCATCGGCCTTCTTGGAGCTTCCGGCTGTTAGTCTGAGGGAGTGTCACTGGCCTCATTATTTGCCATGATCAAAGTCACCCCCGTTCAGTGGTGGGTTGAAGGGAAACAACGGATTCCATTTTGTGACTTTGACAACCCCCCACCGTCAAATTAATGAGCCCAGCGTAAACGCTTTGCGCTTTCCCCCCGCCCTTTCCCGCGACGTCCCCAGGGTCACCTCCTCCGCCTCCTCCGCATCCGCCGGCTCCGCCGGCTCCGGCTCCGGGCGTGCCTGGGAAAAACCAAATCAGCTGCAATGAATGCGTGGTTTCACAGGGACCCGTAACCACCCAAACCATTCAACTATGTGTTTTTTCCGTTTTTTTTCTGAACATATATGAAGAAGTTGGCTGGACTTGCTAGAGGAGAACATCGCCAAATGCTGAACTCAACTGGAGTCTTTGAGCTTTGAAGCAGAAGCATCACCGAACATATGGTTCTCAAAACCATGCATACGTATCAGGAATTACAAGGGCGACCCTTTTACTTATAGACAGGAATGTCCCCCATATAAGCTCCATTTGCCCAGGGACCCTGTCAGGGTAATTTAACAGTTATTAGAAGGAACCCCCTGCTTTCGTGCCACAAGAACCCCTGCTTGAGTGCGCCCTTGATATAGCGGCCAAAGCAACTTGACGTTCGAGACACCCGGTGCAGCGTGAAGCGAAAACCATCATAATTTTAGGGGCAAACTCCCCATTCTGTTCAACCATCGTTCTTTTCAGAAACCTACCATTTTCCCTGGGTTTCTGAAGGTTTTCTAGAGAGAAGGATTCCTGGAAAGAACGGGGAAGGTAGCCCTAGAATCATGCCATTCCAACTGTTCTTCAGTGCGTCTGGGGCCAGACATGCAAAGGGGCCCACAGCCAGCTCTCCCACAGCCGGCTCTCCCACCTGCTCAGATGCCGCGGAGGCCGCGGCACCAAGCTGGCGGACGGTGGT